AAAAGCAGAGACATCACCTTGCCAACAAAAGTCCGCATAGTCAAAGCCATGGTTTTCCCTGTAGTGATGTATGGAAGTGAGAGCTGGACCATAAAGAAAGCAGACCGCCGAAGAAGTGATACTTTTGGATTGTGGTGCTGGAGGAGGCTCTTGAGAGTCCCCTGAACTGCAAAGAGAACAAACCTATCAATTCTAAAGGAAATCAACCCTGAGTGCTCACTGGAAGGACAGATCCTGAAGCTGAGGCTCCAATACTTTGGCCATCTCATGAGAAGAGAGGACTCCCTGGAAAAGACCTTAATGTTGGGAAAGTGTGAAGGCAAGAGGAGAAGGGGACGAAGGAGGATGAGATGGTTGGACAGTGTCATCGAAGCTACCAGAATGAATTTGACCCAACTCCGGGAGGCAGTGGAAGATAGGAGGGCCTGGCGTGCTCTGGTCCATGGGGTCACAAAGAGATGGAAAGAACTAAACGACTAAACGACGATTTAAATTAGCCTGAATTTCTGGGAAAGAACTAATAACAATGTTTTTAAAAAATCTACATTTTTATAGGGTTATTCATTTTATGGTTATAATGTAATCAATATCTGTTGTATCACTGTATTGTTTGTGGATGTTTTTTTTTTTTTATTGTGGGGCATCATTTTAAGCTTGTCTAAACCACCCAGTGTAGAGTTTGCACAAAGGGGGTGTTATATAAATGGTATGAATGAATGAATGAATGAATGAATGAATGAATGAATGAATGAATGAATGAATGAATGAATGAATGAATATGTGTATCAGTGTATGTGGTGTAGACATATGAAGCCCATAATTCTGCTAACAGTGACATTGATGGTAGTCGTAATGTTCGTCCGTGGTGTTTGGAGATTATTGGGATCATAGTCTGGTGAACTGGGTTGGGGAAGGCTGCAGTAAAGAGTGGGGATTGTAAGAAGGGCTTTTTCCATTCTTTTCTACTCTCTTTTACAGGAGCGCTATACTTGTCCCAGCCTTGCAACACATCCTAAAGAACCTGTCTTTGTTGCTCAAACAAATGGCAACTATGTGGCCTTGTTCTCCAGCCTGCGTCCCTACAGAATCAATAACAAGAAGAGATACGAAGGGCATAAGGTATTCTTCTTTCTCTCTGTAAAACCCCAGTGGATCTTTCACATGCTTGCTAATGCTGATGATTTATAGCAGAGATAAAAATTAATAGACTGCAACCCTGTTCTCCATATTTTAGTTAATATAAAATTAAGCTGAAGTGCAAGTAGGCCTTCAAATAATTGAAAGTGCTGTTAGTTGGTAAGTGCCTTGTCACGTATACACTGCTTGCTGATAACAAAGTAAATTTCTTAATAGGGCTGTCTTAATAAACACCTGGGGAAGCAATTAGGCCATTACAGTAAAAATCGACATTTTTACTATACTGTACTATGAAATTTCAGGAGGTTATAGATCACATTGCATTTCCTTAATTAATACCTCGATTTATTTAAAGTCTCTTAATTCTCGACTCTCACAGGTTGAAGGATTTGCAGTGGGCTGTGAGTTTTCTCCTGATGGGATGCTTCTTGTGTCGGGGAGCTCAGACGGCAAAGTGTTTTTCTATAACTACCGCACCTCTCACATCATTCGCACCTTATACGCACATAGAGAAGCCTGTGTGAGTGCAACTTTTCATCCCCTCCTTCCATCACTCCTTGCTACATGTGGCTGGGATGGAGAAGTCAAGGTCTGGCAGTAGTACTCATTTTTGAGAAGCATTCTCCCGTCATAGAAATCTAGCCACCTGCTGGCTTTCCAGTTTCATAGCTGCTTTTTGTCTTTCTATTTACAGTGAGTAGGATGGAGAGCTTTTCTTTTCTGGTCTCACCACAGAGGTACCTGACTCACCTGGATCCTAATCCCCTATTTTATTGCTTTGGGACAACATACCCAGAGTTTGAAAACAGGGATCTCTCTAGCTTGTACTTCCAAGTCTCTATCCATGATGGACAAAATATGGCTCTCCTAATATTGTTGACCTATAATTCTCATCAGCCCCAGCTGGCACAGCTAATAGTAATTCTGAGAATTGCACCCCAACAACATCTAAATGGGCCACACCTTGCCAATCTCTATATGTTGTAGCTGCTCTGATGCACTTCCTACAGAAGTAACAAGATGCATGACTAGCAATAATTAAAGACCCAGGAATACTTGCTTCCTCTTGGAGCAGGTAAGTCTGGCCCACTGAAAGTTTAGTAAGTCAACACCTCTTTAGGTTTTAACATTTCCCTTTAGTCTCCCAATGTAGGGACGTGGTGGTGCTGCGGGCTTAAACCGCAGAAGCCTGTGCTGCAGGGTCAGAAGACCAAGCAGTCGTAAGATCGAATCCACGCGACAGAGTGAGCTCCCGTCGCTTGTCCCAGCTCCTGCCAACCTAGCGGTTCGTAAGCATGCAAATGCAAGTAGATAAATAGGGACCACTTTGGGGGGAAGGTAACAGCATTCCGTGTCTAAGTCGCACTGGCCATGTGACCACGGAAGATTGTCTTCGGACAAATGCTGGCTCTATGGCTTGGAAACAGGGATGAGCACCGCCCCCTAGAGTCGAACACGACTGGACAAAAATTGTCAAGGGGAACCTTTACCTTTACCTTTTAGTCTCCCAAGGGCTATAGGTTTGGTCTATAATCAGTTCTATCGCTTTGCTCCATCTGCGCTTGAACTTTCTTCTCTCTTCAAAACTGTGTGTCAGTTTGATGCCACTTTTACCACTGTGCATCTCAGACCTGAAGAAATTTATGTGTGGTTTGGGTTTTAAGCTAAGTCATACTAGATTTAGCACTGTGACTAGTGTGAGCATGAAGGCTTTTCTGACATTGAGCAATGTGTTCAAGATCCGATTCTGAAATCATAGTGGGAGTGTGAAGCCTAGAGCTTCTATGGTATAAGAGTTTAATTCTATGTTTTCAATACGCCAGCTTAATGGATTACAGTTGGACTAGAGAAGCGTACTCTAACCCCCATGAAGTCTGTGAATAAAATATCATGATTTGGATGCAAGTCACTTTCACTTGAATAAACATTCTCTTCACAAATCTCACCTATTTAGTCTAGAGAGCTGCGGACACACTGAAGTGCCCAGAGTGAATTTACCTCTCCATTTCACATGCTGCTTTGGCAGCGCAAACAGTAGAGAAGAGAAATACTTTGAGGAGGAGGTTACCGCTGAACTAAAATGCTGCTGTTGAAAAAGGATTGGTAAAAATGTGCTCTCCATGGTGCTGATTGCAGTAGAGATGGCTGATAAGAGAACACCTTCTTGGCAATTTAAGGAGTCTATTCAGTCCTACACAGTGATGGTTCCAGAGGGCCATCAATCAAATCATCCTGATTTGGGTTTTATTCTTGTTATCTTACCTTACCTTACCTTTGGTGAGGCTTTTTACCTTAGGACACCTTTATAGAGGTTCAAACTTGTTGTTTTGAACCAGAGGTGGAAAATTTGTGATCTTCCAGCTATTGGGCTGCAATATGCACAGCCTCGGTTCATGTTGTCAATAAAAGGGATTATGGAAGTTGGAGTTGAACTACATCTGGAGCTGGCACTTTCGCATTCCTCTTTCAGAACCTATTGATGTCAGGAGCATGTTCCACAAGGAAGCATGGATATATTTGTTACCTAGGAATTCATGGTATTTTATTCACTGATTTCATGGGGGTTGAAATCAGACAGGTATTCATTTTGACTTCAACATTTGGTCTGTATATATTTGCCGGTTTTGCTTCTGTTTTGTTAGTTTTTTAGAATTGTAGGCAATTGGAAGTGAAATAAATTGGAATCTTGTCACAAGAGATATTGGGGTGTTGAAAATGCAGAATTTAAAACACTTCTATGTGCTTACTGTGGACAGTGCTTCTAATGATCTGCCATAACTGGCATTCAGGTGCACGAATATTTGCGCCATCCAGTTCTTAATCTGGACGAAATGAGCTTCTACAGTCATGTTCTTTGTGAAGCAAAGTGTGTAAGTAAAGGTTGGTGGCACGTGTATATAAAAATGTGTATAAAATAAATCCAATCTAAATGTTATATAATGTTAAATTTTAAAAAATCAACTTTGTATTTTCAACATTTAAAACTAAATAAAACTCTTGTTTTCCTGTTGATAGCCTCTGGAATCATGCTTGTGAAATATTTGTCACTGGGTTTATCTACGTATGTTTTGTTTAACTGAATCGAGTTTTAAAAACTGGGTTTCTGATTTTTCTGTTTTCCCTATCAGGAAGAGAATTTAATGATACCAGTAGTATCATAGAGATATCTATAGAGCATAAATTTGTACTGATCTGAGATTACATTAAGAACATGGCTGACACAGAGTTTATTCTATTTTATTGCTTGAATTTATGTTGTGTCTCTCACACACACCTCTGAAGGGCTTTCAGGGGAGCTTAAAGGCACAAAAACACAAAACGGTTGTAAATAAAGCACCATTAACCCTCCTTACAGACAAAACTGCTGTTTAACATCTACATGGAACCGCTGGGAGAGGTCATCAGGAGGTTTGGGCTGAGGAGTCAGCAATATGTTGACGACACTCAGCTCTATCTCTTGTTTTCCACCAATCCAGGTGAGGCAGTTTCTGTGCTGAACTTGTATCTGGACCTGATAATGGACTGGATGAGGGTTAATAAATTGAAACTCAATCCAGACAAGATGGAAGTGCTGTTAGTGGGTGCTTCGCCGGACAGGCTGGAGGGCCATTTCCCTGCCCTGAATGGGGTTACACCCCCCCTAAGGGACAGGTTCTGCAGCCTGGGGGGGCTCCTGGACCCCAGTCTAACTCTGGAAGCCCAGGTGGACTCAGTGGCCAGCCTTCAGCTGCAGAAATTCTACCAGCTACGGCCCTAACTGGACGAGCGGAGTCTCATGACAGTTACACACGCACTGGTAACATCTCGTATAGATTATTGCAATGCACTCTACGTGGGGCTGCCTTTGAAGATGGTCCGGCGACTGCAGCTGGTCCAGAATTGAGTTGCGCTGCTGGTAAGTGGTGGGCCCGCTAGAGAACACAACAAGCCGATTCTGTTTAAGTTACATTGGCTACCAGTTGAGGCCGGGCCCAATTCAAAGTGCTTGTTTTGACATATAAAGCCGTAAACGGCTTGGGCCCTGGATACCTGAAGGACCGCCTCCTTCCATATGAGCCTACCTGGCAGTTAAGATCTAGCCAGGGGGCCCTTTTGAAAGAGCCATCCCTCAAAGAGGTAAGAGGGATGGTTGTAGACAAAGGGCCTTTTCGGCAGCTGCCCCCAGACTATGGAATGCCCTTCCAACTGAGATTCGTCTGGCGCCGACGCTGATGACATTTCGGCGCCAGGTCAAAACCTTCCTGTTCCAGAAGGCTTCTAATTGAAATAACATCAACTGTGGGTTCTGATGGTAATTTTAATTGTATTTTAATCAGTTTATCTTTTATTGTATTTTAATTGAATTTTAATTGTTGTAAGCCGCCCAGAGACCGTTGGGTAGAGTGGGCGGCATATAAGTTAAACAAACAAACAAACAAACAAACAAAACAAATTTACATGCTTTGGAGTTATTCTCCAATGTATTGAAGGTTAGAAATCCATAGGGTCCCTTCCAGCTCTGCAGTTCAAAGGTTATTATTATTAAGTATGTTTTCAGTTGCATGACATGTATTTCTTGAAGCTATTGAACATGCCAGTGCTTCCTTTTAGTAAGGACACTCTGTCATTTTTGCTTTTTTGGCATCGTGATTTGCCAACAACAGTAAAAATCACATGGGCCTCCCCTTTGGCAATACATTACATTGGCTGGGACACTTAAAGTACCTGGATAGAATAGGATCTGCCTCTCAGCTTAGACCCTTTGTTTAGGGTGGGGTGCACACCATCTCTGGAGAGTACAGTGGAGGGTGGGCTGCTGTGGAAGGAGTGCAAGCATAGATGCAATGGTGCAAGCACTGGATATTCCCCTTATACAAGTGCCAGATACAAGTACCAGAAACAACCCTTTAAAAAGAATGTTTACAGCCCCATTAAAACAATCTGATTTATGTTACTGATTATGTTTTGGGAAAATGTAATAGTGCTCTGTACTTCCCATAAGTAATGACGGATGATCCTTGAGACATGTTTGCTACATAGTCTCTCCTGATTAAATTGCTTTATGTTACTGATTATGTTTTGGGAAAATGCAATAGTACTCTGTACTTCCCATAAGTAATGATGGATGATCCTTGAGACATGTTTGCTAACATAGTCTCTCCTGATTAAATTGCACAAGGCCAAATAGTGACACTTAATAATTGTTGTTAACGGTACTCAGTTTATAACAGCTCCTGCAATTTTGAGATCATAAAAAATTGCAGTAACTGGAAGTCAATCTAATAATCTCAGTGTCTTGAAACTAGTGCCTTGGTACTCAAGGGCTGAAATCCTGTTGCACAGTTACACAGATGGCCATAATTGCTGTAAGTTAAGAAATCTCTGAAGGCATTCTCTGTTGCATACTGAGCTGCAGGATTCCGTAAGCAGCAGATAATGTCTATGGAGACATTAGTTTCAAGTTCCAGCAATTTGCTTCCAAAGGTTGCTCTGTTTGTGTGACGGCACAATACGATTTCAGCCAATATGTGCTCAATCTATGTGTCCTTCACAAACAATGTCAGAGAGCAGTCATCTTCATTTTTCAAAGTTTTGAAAACTGCACGTAGTGTGTGCAACAGTGCTAAATGGTGTACTCCAAACAGCTCTGGATTGGACCGTATGACAGCACCAAAGGGCCTCTTGAGATTACCGTATTTTTTCCATGTATAAGACACTGCTTTTTCCTAAAATCATTACACTAAAAATTGACGGGCGTCTTTTACACAGAAGTAAGCTGAGAACACAGAGAGAACAAAACTTGCCTCTGTAAAAAGGCTTCGTTCAGTCAGGAGGCTTAGCTTCCTGCAGTCAAGAGACTTAGCTTCCTCCAATCACGAGCCTTATGGAACTGATGTTAGCTGTTGCTGAACAAACCAATTGGAACATGGCTTGCTGGAGCTGGAGCCTGAAGGCTCAGATTCAACAGGGACTCCTAATGTCTGAGCATTCTGAACCCAGAGGCTGAATACTCAAAGCTACGTTTTCTTAATTTGGGGGTTAGAAAAGTGTGTGGGTGGGTCTTATAAATTGGGGCATGCTATAAATGGAAAAATATGGTATTTCAGGTGTCCAACAAATTGACTAAGGAAGAAGGTGCTCTCTCAGTAACCAGGGGCAGAAACTTGCAACAGGACCCACTGTGTTCATCTCCTTTCCACCACAGCAGTCTGCCGGTAGAGAGATCTAGTGGCCTACGTTTCGTTG